TAAGAAACTTAAAAAAAAAAAAGAAAAGAAAAGAAAGGAAGCCACCCCTGGTCAGCACAGGAGGAGTGGGCTTTGCACACCTTACTGTGGTTGTGTAGGAGTTACTAACTCCTTTGGCTCGCAATGTGAAACAAATAACTTCTAAAGACTGAAAGACACCTTAGCTCTTAACTGCAAAAAGAAAAGAATCATAGTGTGCTTCGTTTTGGCTTTTATGCATGACTGAGACAGAAACTACTGAAACAGTTAGACTTTTTTTTTTTAAAAGGTTTGCCCTTCAAACAATTGCACACCTACTTTTTGCAGGTGTCTTGTTACTGGTTCTGCAGTGTTCAGCAGAAGGTGTTTGGAGGCAGGAGAAAGGATCAGACAGAAATGAGAAAGGCTCCATCTTAGAAACACATAGCAAGTTGAGCCTTTACCCATTATTGCATCCTTCATTAGGAGCAAAACGTCCTTCACTCGGTGGTCCAGTGTGGACCACTCCCACTCACTGACATGGTCTCCAGAGTCTTTAAAAGCACCATACATTAAATAGGCTTGTAATTAGTCAAGTCCAACTACTTGGTTGAGTCATGTGTCCACTTATTTTGCAATCTGTTATTATGTTTGAAGTGTGTGCCTTAGGGCAATTTGTTTTTAACATGAGTACCAACAGATTAGGATTTATAAGACAACCTACCGGTTCTTTCTCAACGGTGAAAAAACTTTCCCTTCTGCAAAAGGAATAAAATGTAATAAATGAAGAAGGGAGATAAGTTGCTGTCGACCTGTTAAGAGTAGTTTTGATCTCTTTTATCAACAATAATGGCATTTTATCTACTCACTCCCATTCTTAGTGAATACTTCATTAGTGAAAATATTTACCAACCAAATAATTAACCAGAGGGTGAAAACCAACCTCAAACAAACTGACCCACTGCCGGTCAGATCTAGTTTTTGTTAAGATATATGAAACGACTGTGTATCCTAAATGACAAGCTTTTGTTCCTCACCACTTTACTGGCTGAGAAATTCTAGGTCAAGGTCCCAGAGGCCACAGTTTCTGTTGAGGGCCTACTTCCTGGTTTACAGGCCTCTCTACCAACGTCAGCAGAGCAAGAAACGAGCTCTTGAGTGTCTTTCAAATCCACCAGTTCCACTCATGAGGGTTCTTGTCTAGGATCTAATGACTTCCCAAAGGCCCCATTTCCAAATACCACCATTTTGGGGATTCAGGATTACTGTGTAAATTTGGGGATGTGTGTAAAAACATGTGGCTCAAGGGGTGGAAACCACCTCCGTAACATCAGTCATTACAGTTTCAGACAAGACTGCTAAATCTCAGTCACTGACATTTTCATAAAAAGCTTAATCAGTGTAGGAATACCTCAAGTACACACACATACCTGTGTATTCTATAGGTGGATACCTACATATGAAGATATATATATATACACATACATACATAAAAACCAAGCCACACTTAATTCAAATCGGGTTACACATGAAATCACATATGAAATCCAAGGTTTCCACAACCCAGCCTTCACGTTTTCCCTGTTTGCTCCTTCCCTAAGGCACTCAGTAGAGCGGCAATAAGGAGGTAACTTGAAAGGCGCTGTGTGTGACTGTAATGAACGGGAGAAGAGTGGACTGAGGTGTGCACTGTACTCTCGGAGGCAGAGTAAGGAAGGAGCTAGAGACCCCTCTGAAATGAAGTCGTTATGTGTGCAATTCTGTACACTCACATCTCTGATTGTTTCATTTTAATAAACAGTCATATTTAGTGCTGCACTATGAGCACACATGGAAGCAACACACATGGAAGTTTTATTTTTAGACACTGGTGTCCGTTCACATCTTTCCCCTGCATGAGCCAGATCATTCATGTGCTCTATTGGACGGTTACCGAGTGCTTGTTTACAGTGTGCTGGCCCTGACAGTTAACAACAGAAGCCTCGTTCATGTATGGGTGGGGTGAGAGATTGGAAGAGGAATGAGAGTCAATCATAAGCAATAAGGAAGGAAAAATATTTCAGATAAAGTACAGTGCCGAAGTAGAAATACCCGTTTCCCATCTGTATTTTCTTCCTGTCTCCAGCTTATCGTGTCTTAACTACATAGTAACCCCTCCACCCAGTGATTGCTTGGATCCTTGATCCAGCCCCTACTTCCATCAAGCCAAGCTTTTGCATCTGTTAGTTTACCTTACGTATCTTTCCCAAGTAGACCATAAGCTTTGAGGAGTGAAATGTGCGCATTTTTTAATGATGTTAAGCTTGTGATTTCTGGCACATAGGCTGATTTTGCTCAACATTAACCCCTAAGGCAACATATGACATATACAGTCAACACCAATTCATGGAGTAATCTGTTGCAGGAGTAAAGAACCGCAGCACTAGGTTAGCATCCAATTCTCACAGCAAGATGGAAAGTTTGTCAGAAATATCTTTGGACAGGAAGACAATCGATCGTCTACAAGGTCATTAGAATATCATCTTTAGTGATGCTTTCCATTACACTGATGCTGTAGCTCATATGCAAAGCATCCTTTTCTAAAAAAAATTATTATTGCAATTTAAAGTTCATTTTACAAAAATGTTATTTTAGCATATTAAAAAACCAACAACAACAGGTAGACTGTCTAATGTAAATCAAAAGACAAGCTCACAGACACTGAAGAAAGATCTGTTTTTCAGAACCAAAGAGCTGGCTTCTATTCCAACCTGGATAGAACAGTGAGTTACTCAGATAACAACACAGCACTAAAAATGACCCACTGACTGAGCCTAGGAACCCTAGGAGTACTGGATACCCCAGCCTTCGAAAGCATTCTGACCTTAAACTGGCTTTGGACCGTCTTTCTGGGGCTCTAACCAATCTAGGTCATCTTTTTTTTTTTTTTAATGTCTCCTAGAGGCTACAAGTCCCCACAAAAATAAAGGCAAAACCTTTGTCATTTCAATAAGAAAGAGATGTAGGAGTCATCTGACCATAGTCTATTATGGGCATTGAACAAAGCAGATAGCAAACCCACAGAGCTGACTGCCTTGACCATTGTGGCAAAAAGACCTTCCATTGTGCCAAAGCATCTGCTGTAAACTCATCCCAAAAGCTCCCTTGCCCATTAGAACTCAGATTTAGGTTTTTCTGCATTACATCTAAACATGTGTCCCCTCAGGAGTCCAGCTAAGTTACAGCTCCAGTGCGGCCATCTATGTACACTCCCTGGTGATTTTCCCCCCAAGTACTTCTAGGAACACGGGTGAACTCTGAGACCTTCTATTTTCAGAGACAAAGTCTAACAGAACAGGGAAAGCTCACAAACCAAATGAAGGGTGTGGGCAGCCTGCAAGCTTCTGCAAAGTGGCTAACAACTGACTATTATGTTAGTAAGTTCCAAAATGATTTTGAATGTATTTTGCCGGTGAAAAATCTGAAGCAGTAAGACACTGTATTAGTGAAACTGATGGAAATAAAAAACGTTGGAAATACTGTGATGGGTTTCTGAATGCCTGTGTGTTGTATCCTTTTCGAGGAACAAAAAGAAGCAGAAAAACATAAGGCATATATGTTGGAATGAATATCCAGCTTGGCCTATCTCCTAGTAGGACACCCATTATTCTTAAAATTGAAAATAACTGCTATTATTATTTATTGAGAATGTAATATCTGCCAGCCAAGGTACTAGAGGTTTGTGTCGTTATCTAATTCAATCCATCACTAGATGGTAAATATAATTAGTCTTACATTCAAAAGTGTAGGGAAATTGGGGCACAGAAATCTTAAGTAATTTTCTCCAAAGTCTTGTTCGTAGTAAATTGAAAAGTCAGAATTGGAGACCAAGTGCGTAGGACTAAAATTTGCATTCTTTCCAACGCTGCCTTGAAGAAAGTTAAATTCAAAGATCAAATACCATTTCTCCCTCATTAAAAATAATGTCTTTAAGGAGAAAGACTGACACCGCAATTTAGTGCCAAGCCATGAAGGATGTTTAAAAAGTTAGAGTTTCAAAACATTTCATTTAAATGCATTTAAGTTGAATAATTTGCATAACCAAGTCTAAGCTTGTTTCTGGGGAAAGCATTCTAACAGGTGTGCCCCATTGGTCTTTTAATACCTTTGCAGTTTTAAAGTCTACAGTGACAGGTCACAGGGGGATGAGGGGAGCTCATTCACGCTTTGTATACAAAACAGGAGAGGCAGGATCTGGAGGCTCATATGACAGGTGCAGCAGTGGAGATAAAACCCTGCCTGCTATCACACTAAAATCGAGTCTTATTGGAGCGAATGACCTTTAGGGGAAAGGGTAGTGGGAAGGAGATGGAGATCCAGGGCCAGAGATGGAAGTTGTGTTCTAATAACTGTGCCAGATAATCCTCCCACATCACAAAATAAAGTGCTTATTTTCCTCAGTCGTCAGTCAGCATGAGTGTGTGGAACAGCTCTGCCCTGTCTGGATCCTATTCAGTCCACTCCAAGGACACAATCACTTAAGTGATTTTAAGGCATTCCTTCAGAGCATCCCACTGACTGTAACATTACTTATTTTTGTTTTTAAAGACATGATTATAGTTTCACATCCCTGTGTAACCTCAACCACAGTTCAACAGAGTCTCCTAGCTGGATCTCATGGGGTTGTATCTTGGAGCCACCTACTGGGGTAACTGCCTTTTGTACGTTTTAAATCACAGGTGTACTAGCCCTTCCCCCTTTTAAAATTGAGTTGAGGAAGGAGAAGGAACAAGGAAGGTAGAGGAAAAAATATTACTCTCATTGGAGAAAATTGAAGGGTGTTAAGAAAAAATCAGAGGTGGCTCTTTAACCATTGGGTCATATAAAAAAAAATCTTCTCTGTACCTCGCTTGTCTCTTTCCACATCTTTCTCTTGTTTTCTAAGAAGGGAAGGTTGGGATTGAGTTTCTCCTCTGCCTCAAATGTCTCTGAAAATGGTAGCGAGCCAAAACCAGAACTAAACAGAGAAGCCACCTGGGGTAGCCGCTTCCTCTTGGGTTTACCTTGTAGTTTCTGGTTGTATTCGGTCCTGTCAGACTGGCTCCTTCTCAAGGAGCCAGAGTGGTCCCCAGAAACACTGCTGTCCACCACAGTATCCGTCTTCCTCCTCTCCAGCATGTACAGCCTGGATCTCAAGAAGGTCAAGTTCTTCCTCTTGCTTCCCATGGTTTCCTTCCCAGCGGCTTCTCTGGGCTCCATGTGAAGCAAAGCGACAGAGTTCTGAGGTTTGCAGGCAACAGCGGGTGGCTTAAGTGTCTTGGGGTGCACCTGAGCATCTAACTGCCCCTTTCTAACTCCACAGCTCCACTGCAGGTTACCTGACTGTGACTGCTACCTGGAGTCCCCAAGCTCCACCCCTATGAGGTCATTTTCTTTTATACCTACAATCCAACAGGGGAAGTTGCCACCTGTTACCCGAGAGACTTGCAGCACTGAGTTAGGCAAAGCAGAGACTCTAATGTCACATGCTACTGAAGCAAACAAAAATCTCATTGTGTGGGGCAAGGGCTGGGGGGTGGGGAAAGGGAAAGTGTGCAAGGTGAGACAGGGCTGAGTGAAGGGAAGGACACGTTAGCTCAACTCTCAGCCTGTGGGTTGAATGTATGCCCATGGGCGTGTGCAGGTGCACTCTGTGAACTGTGCTGTGACCGCCGCTGGGAGTCCTGTGCGGCTTTCCTCTGCTCTTTCACCTGTGGCTCTGAAGTCAGTGTGTAGCTATGACAATTTACATTCACACGGCAATGCAGACAGGGTTATTTTTATTTGGAGCATGAGCCCTCAAAGCAATGCATCTAATTTTAAGTATCGCCGTTGGCGATCATCTGTTACCGTCTGACTGGCTAAATAAGCCCTGATCAGAGCACCTGAGAAGTAAAGATTGACATTTGAGAGTGATCCCCGCCCCACCTCCCACCCCCGTGGAGAGTGAAGAACTGGAGGAGAATGGATGTCCTGAGAGCCCAGAAACTTCTCTTATTCTCCACAGGCTGCCTTTGACTGGGCTCCATTTTTTCCTGGTTCCAGCCTTCTCTTCTCAAGTCTTGGTCCATAGGAAAATAATAGACGACTCAGTGTTCATTTGTTTTAAAACTTCCTGATGTAGCCTTCACAAACGGAGTGTGAGGAAAGAGAACAGGAGAGGAGGTGACAGTATTGAAATGGAGAATTATGAAGAAGGTGCAGGGGGCAAGACGCAAGGGCGGGGAGGGAGAAAGGCAAAGGGGAAGGACCTTTCATTGTCTGAAGTTGTTTTTCCTTGTATTTATTGGGCTCTCCCAAGGGAGAGATCTCAGAAGCTCTGGGAATGTGCTGAGTGTTTTGCGCACACCCTTGTTAAGGAAGAGATACCCTAAGAAGAAAAATAGATTCCCTTCTACCGTAAAGGGACCGCCAGCTTCCACCTGCCCGTTATGAATCTTGCTCAGCTCCACCTGGACAAGATTATAAACGAGGAGGAGAAAGACAAAAACCATTTTTCCCAACACAGGATATGTAGGCTGAATGTAATTTGCATAATTACCTTAAGAGATAAATGATAAATCCTCACTCACTATAGAGACAGCTATATATAGCTTGGCACACTGGCTTTTATTTGAGATAATTGAAAGTTATTTTTTAAAAAAATAAAAATAAAAAACCGAAAAAACAAACCAAAAAAAAAAAAAAAACAACTCTCCACAGTATATTGAGTAAATACCTTTAAAACAACTTTTAAATCTGTAAAATGAAGTCTATCATTTATTAAAATATTCCACTTGTTTATATATATACATATATATATATAAACAATGAATATCAGAGCTATACTCTTCAGTAACTGAAAAATTGTGCAAACAAAATTATAAAACTTTTGGGAAATAGGAGGCTTAAAGACCAAGCAAGCAAGAAAGAAAGAAAATGAAAAAAAAAAAACCCAGAAAACTAATAAAATCAGGTAATACATTTTATATGTTTTCATACATGATAAATTTTTTTTGGCTTGTTTCAATGTGTGTTATTTTCATGTGTGTGCAATATGCATATGTGTGTGCATGCAAATTTGCATTTGCCTGGGCACACATACGTGTGTGCACACGCTCGAGTGTGCATGGAAAACAAGGTTTGTTGTCAGGAATCATTCTGAATTGTTCCGCCCTGTTTTTTGAGGCAAGCCTCTAAGTGGAACGGAGAGCAGGCCTATGTGGTTAGTCTTGCTAGGCAGCCTTGCCTCCCTGACATTTGCATGAGTTCTGGGGATCCAACCTCTGGTCCTTACCCTTGAGCAGCAAGTGCTTTACCCACTGAGCCACCTCCTGAGCCCACATTGCTTCTGGGCTTGTTTGGTTGTTTAGTCTCACTATAAAGCTTTGCCAGACCTGGCACTCACTATGTAAGAGACACTGGCCTTGAGCTCATGGAGATCTCTCCCTCCCTCCCTCCCTCCTTCCCTCCCTCCCTTCCTCCTTCCCTCTCTTCCTCCCTCCCTCCCTCCCTCCTTCTCTCCCTTCCTCCCTCCCTCCTTCCCTCCCTCTCACTCTCTCAATTGTTTGAATTAAATGCATACCCCACTTTAGCTGGTGTTGCTTTTGTTTTTGATATAAGGTCTTTGCTTTTTCTGTAGGCTGACCTCAACTCACCATGTAGGCTAACACTGCATTTGTGATCTTCCTACCTATCCTGAATTACACCTGGGATTACAGGTGTGGGGCACTCTGTCACCCAGTTCAAACACCTAAGAAATGTGCAAATGCTACAGTAAATGTAGCCCTCTATCTTGGGAAAGTTCTGGCATTTGCTTACGGCTCTGCACCTCAGAAAGCCTGCAATATGTGAGTTAGGGAATGGCAGAGCCTTTGAAGTCACTAAGAAATACCACAGTAGATGATGAGATGCGGTCCATAACACAGTCAGGGCCTGAGGTCACCAACAGTGTTTACAGGACACACAGCTGGCTTTTGTGTTCTCCTCCATCATCATTTCATCTAGATAAGGTTTTTAATTTCATTTCATTACCCTAGATGGTTCAAGTGGACACATTCACACATCCAAATAAATATGAAACTGTGCTGCATTCAAACAGTTCCTTAACTTGTCAATCTTTCTAGAACAAATCTGTATTTCTGAAACAAACACATTTGTATTCATATTCTGGCATATATATATCCTATATCTATAGGATATGTATCATAGCTACTACAGATTCTGTGGCAAATGTGTTTCATTTATTCATGGTAGTTTATTTAAAAATTTAAAGTCATATTTCATGGATTGTGTGTGTGTGTTGACTCACAAGTGATCAGAAGGACAATTTGCCACAAATTGAGATTGGGGGAAGAAGTCAAGCCATTAGGCTTGGTGGCAGGCACCTTTACCCATGGAACCATCTCACTGGCCCTTGAAGGATTTTCTATGTAAACGTAAAAGTAATCAAAACTTATCTTCTGAAGAACTGCAGGTAGATCATAATTCAAGGCAGTGTACCATATAGACCATGACATGTTTCAAGGCACAGGCCAAGAAGATTTTGTACTTTTCCACCACCTGGACCCTCTTACCCCCTCCCCTTGTAAAACATGCTATAAAAAAGCATTTCATGTTCAAAAAAAAAAAAAGAAATTAAAAAAAAAAAGAAAAAAAAAGAAAAAAAAAAGTAATCAAAACTACTGTCATAGTTTGTTTTAGATGGTTTCCAGACCAGATATTGGGGTTTGGGAGAAATTAGCTACCTAATTAAGGAATCTGGAAAGTGGCCAGGTAGATCCTGAGGGTTCTGACCTAACTCCTGGCCCATCCCCCATGATGGGTACATAATAGAATGTCGTTACCATGGAGCCATGGGAGGCAGGAAGTGGGATTGGTGGCAGGAAACAGCCACTGAGGCACGCTTTAATAAGATCATCTTTTCCCTCTGACTCTTCTCTGTCTCTCTGACTCCTGACTTCCTCTCTGTCACAGCCTTTTCCCAGGATCCTCTGCCTCACACAGACCCAGAAGTATTGGAGGCAGCCAGCATGGACTGAAACGTCTGGGGTAAGACAAAAGAAACCCTTCCTCCGGTAAGTACCCTATCTTCAGGATTTGCCACAGTGGCAAAACTGAGCAAACATAGATCACTCCGTCAGTGACGGGACAGACATTGCTGGTGGTTTACTCAGTTTTTCTTCACACAGCCACTCCCCGTTGCCATTCTTAGGACAAACACCAATTTATGCAAGGTAGCACCAGGCTTGGCCAATCAATGGAATTTTTCTTCTTCTTTTTTTTCTTTTAAAGGAAAAGACACCAGTATCTCAGGGTTAATCCAGAATAAAGGGCAAGGCATTGATTCTGAGAAAGACTTTTCTTCAAAGCCCAACAAAAGGAGCATGCGCAGCTGGCTCCAACCTTCTGCCTCCAGAATCAATCGTGTGAAGCAGTCACAGTCACCCCGTGTCGGAGACCCAAAGAGGTGGATGAATTCTTAATGGTTATACCGAAGCCTCACTAGCAGCCACTCACCTTACGCTTTTGATTTTCGGGTAAAACAAAGACTTGTTTTCTCCAAGTCATCGTTGGGATTCCTGTGAGCACATTTGAAGTGTATTTAGCAGACAGCATACGAGCAAATCACATTTCCCTTGCTTATCTCATGTACACTTACCAAGCCAGTTTATTTAGACTCCCCAGCCTAAAACATTATTTAGTCTTTCCAGAAATGAGAATGGCCAGGTCAGAGGAACTTTGAGTTGTGTGTCTTATTAGATCATCAACCTGACAAGAACAAGACCATCTTATTAAATCTGTCTACACACAAAGTATTTCAATACAATTAGTTACAAATAATATAATTTGGATAAAATGGTGACAAGATATCTAATTGTGATATCATTTAATATGGATGGATTCTGACTTGCTAGTAGAAACAGTATCGGGCAGTAGATCCAAGACTCTGTCTCTACCATGGCTTCAGGACGCCCTGCCCTCAGGGTCCCAACTCCTTCATTTGAAAAATGGAAGACTGTCTCAGTCACTACTGCTATTCACCAGGCAGCTCTGGGTTTTCACTAAGGCACATGGAGTATGGCACTGCCCGTCTCCCTTTGAATCTATCCTAGCAAAAGTAAATCTCTTTGGTCAAAGCAACTAATTGAAAGTGATATGTGCCGTGCCTGGGTAAGTGGTAAAAACATTCTAGTCTGCTATGATTTTCTTTCTGTCATCTATGGAACAGTGGTTTCTCC